AAAAATAGATGGTGATCTGAAGCAAATTAATCGAAAGTCAAACCGCGTATAAATAACAATCCAAATCACAGCTCAAACAATGTTTACCACAAATCTCAGCTCACACCAAGCACCAAAAGCTTCCCAAATCCAAGAACGATCAACAAATCTCCTACACATACATGTACCGTAAACTGAAAAAAAAAAAACTAAGGAGTGATAAAAAAGAAAAAAAGAATGAATTTTTATGAATCAATGAAGTAGCACCAAAAAGAATATAATTATGTATGTGCAAGCTAAGCTAATAAGCTATGGCATTTATGAAGCTTCTGCACAAACAACCCACTTGTTTCTTCTGATTAAATTACACACAAGAATAGAAAAATCAGACCCTTTTCACAAGACGGCGTATTACAATCTGGGTCGATGTGATTTGAACTGATGATGCATTTAAGACCACCATTTTGGTGAAGATTCAAAGGTCAAACGCATATAATAGTATAGTATATTTCTCATGATGAATAAACAGAAAATGGCGAAGTAGGCAAGAAAGTGGAGAGGGAGAAAGTATTTGGGTTTAATGGTAAATAAATGGAGTTTTTTTAATACAAGACCTGAAAGATAGGTAAACTATCAATTCGGGGCCTGAAATTTTTTTTTCTCAATTCGGGACCTGAAAGATAGGACTTAATTTGATAGTTTTATAACATTCAAGTCCCGAATTGAGAAAAAAATTCTTTCAGATCCCAAATTGATAGTTTACCTATCTTTCAAGTCTGGTATTAAAAAAACCCAATAAATAAATTTAAATTATATAGTATTTTTTTATTGCAATTAATAAAGTTACAATTAAGATTTTTCTAATTTGGTTATCAGTTTGTTAAATAATGGGGAAATTAGAAAAGTCGTCATATAATTGTGGGTAGTTGTAAATTGTAATCTACTCTCTATTTAATTTATTTAAGCTGGGGGGCTTGTTTCTAGAAGCAGAAGACACGCTGAGGGCTGCCGTGCAATTATGAAAAAATGTGCATTGCATGAATTTGACTAACTATTTTTTTTATTTAATTTTTTCTCAATCCTGCAAATTGATTGATGTCAATCAAGGAACATTAATTAAGAAAAAAAAAAAAAAAAAAGTGAGAAATTGGAGAAGGATCCACATTTATTTTGGAATCCATCCTAATATTCTAGAATTCATTATTTCATCTACCTAGTACGTATTTCGTGTGATAGTTGATACGTATTTCATGTAATGAGCAGACGCGTTACTTAATTTAGAATTTTAATGACCTTGTTTGGTAATCAGCTGTTAGCTGTGCTGTTAGCGGATTGTGTTAGCTGTTTTGACCAGCGGATTGTGTTAGCTGTTTTGACCAGCTGATTATATTAGCGGTTTGTAAAAAAGTGTTTGGTAAAATTAGCGGTTTGTAAAAAGTGTTTTTCAATTAATATATTTATGTTTAATGTAGTTATATGTTATAAGTTAAAAAAATATTATAATATAATACATGTAAGTCGCATAAGTAACAAATATTATTCTAATAATTTATTGAGATATATTTTCAAACATTTTTTTATGTAGCATAAGAAACAAATGATTCTTGAGTCCAAAATAAATGTAATTAGCTTATGATTAAAATAATAGACAACACTTTAAATTTGTTTAACTTAATTATCCTGGCCATCATTGTCATCTTTTATTCCTTTTTTTTTTTTTTCTCCTGCGTATCATTTGTCTTCTTTTATTTTTATTTGTTTTCATGTACCATCCAACTTAATTATTCTATTTGGCAGTATAATTGTACAATATCTAAATAATTGATGAAGCTAATTGATGAAGAAGCTAACTTGAAACGCTCCAACTTGTAGCGGTTGCAAAATCAGCGTTTTCCCCCGAAAAGCCATTTTGAAAAGCTGATTTACCAAACAATCTTTTTAGCTGTTTTAGATGGTCAAACAGCTAAAATGGTTTGAAATAGCTAAAAGTTAGAGAAAAAACCGTTTACCAAACAAAACCAATATTCATCATTGAAGAAAAAATAAATACTCCCTCATATTTTTATTATTTGTCGTTTTGAGAAGCAACACGCTAATTAAATTTTTTTTCTTGCCAATATTAACCTTATTTAATGGATGGTATGATAAACTATGGAAATGGGATATGAAGAGACACTGTGCATTGATGGAGGGTTAAAAATGTAAAAATATGAACAAAATAGCTAAAACGACATTTATTTAATCAATGATCTATTAAGCCAAAATGACAAATAATAAAAATAGGAGGGAGTACAAAATATGAAAATTAGATGTTATATATTTGAATATAATGAGTGTTCCTAATACATCAATACTATTTGATGTATGATAAAATTAATTTATATGAATCATTATACTTTTTAAAAATACATATATAGATTTAATAAATATGAGATATTTAATGTTCGTATTAAAATTTTTTATTTAAATATGAGATGAAAATGAATGTGTACCAAAAATAGGCATTAAGAATCCACTAAGATTGTTTATAAATTTTAAAAGATTTTGTAGTTAGATAAATATGGACGATAAAAATCATCAATGAAGTATACCGATCCGAAATATAAAAATTAAATTATGACATAACATTCATTATTAAATAAATACAAATTTTTAGATGTTACCATAAAATATGAGATTTGTAGATAAATAAATATGGATAATGATATGGGACATTATACCCACAAGGCTGAACCGGTCTGTTGACCGGTCGAGGAGGTCATATTATGAGGAAGCCAAAGGAGTCGAGCAATTAACTAGTCGACCAAGCAAGGCTGTCGACCGAACTATCCTTCGACCAGATACGCGATCGAGCAATTTATTCGACCTCATCAGGTCGACTACTTCGAGGACTTAACACCACGCTATTCGGCCTAGTCACGGGCGCGTGAAGGAAGCCTCTGACAGAATCCCAGGAGAATATTTACCCCATGTGCAGGGGGACACGTGTAGGGAAAGCAGTGGAGGATAGCGATAACCACCTCTGACAGCATATCCCATGTGCAGGAGGACACGCGTCCAAAGGGGATTGGTGCAGGTGATAGTGGCGACGGCTACCTCTGACACACGCGTTTGGTGCGTACGGACGGGCAGTTAGGGCAGACAGCTCATCAAATCCGGGCAGCCCTAGGTCAGGTATCTCACCTCTATATAAAGGGGGTGAGCTTTTTTTCTTCAACACGATCATTCTATTACTCTTGAGAATTGATTGAATATACACTGACTTAAGCATCGGAGGCTCTTCACCGGAAAACCCCTCCGGTGTGAGAGTTCTTTGTAGGTACACGACGTTCAACCGGCGAGAAGGAAGGCGATTACTCAAGTTCCAGCCGGTCGAGGAGTTTTGTGTTACCATTTGGCGCCGTCTGTGGGACTCTCGTTGCAAAAGGTGTGCTTGAAGTTCAGCTATGGCGGACGGAATTCCCAAAAACTTGCAGTCAACGTTCGATGATGCTTGGACGACGACTAGGCCGTTGGGGCAAGGCCCTCCTCCGGGTTTTTCGGGCCCGTCGCAGACGCCGGTCACCCCCGCACCGGTGCTCCAAGGTGTAGGAGCGGCAACGGCGATCCCTGGAGGAAATACTGGCCCCAATCGCGCCCAGGAGGCTCGCGCAGCGGACGCGGCGGCGATGCCACCACCACCGCAAAACTTGGCAACGATACAACCAGGAGGAACAGGGGAACAACGGGGAGGAGCGGCGATCCAAGGAGGAGCGCCGCCGCAAGCGGCGGTTCAGGTCCCCGACCAACCGGTGGTAATGACCAGGCAGGAAATGCAACAAATGGTGGCGGAGGCAGCTGCCCAGGCGGTTCAACAGGTTACAAACAGTCTTTCTCGGGCTACGGCTGCGCCGAATACTGTTGCAGGATCACGACAAAATACGGAGGAGGAGGAATCCAGCTATGGCGGAGGCGGGCCTACGCA